TCTTCTAAAGTACTTGGTTTTAAGCATAATCCTAAAGGTAATGAAGACATAGCTAGCTACCCATTTGCCTTTCTCCATAAATTGTCCTTAAAACATCTTAATTTCACTCAAAGTTTTTGACATCAGTGGTATGATGAATAGATGTCCTGTTGATTCTGACAAATTAGTCTTCTAGAGCTTGATTCATTGAATCTCTAGAAACATCTTTTAGCTTGTTAAAGTACTGTAAGTTTGCTCATGTTGAAGTTGCATGGTCCTTGTGATGTGAAAAGGCCATTGTTGCCAATAAGTTGGATTTACTGGTTTCAGAAATGCTGCTGGAAGATCTTTCTAGGTTGTGGTTGCTGTTATATGAAATTTTGATGAGAGTACATTCTGCTGCCTGGCGCTCTTCCGTAGGTCATGCAATCGAGGCATGGTATTTTCTCAACTTTTGTGCTCCTTAACACCAGAACAAGTCCAGGAGGCTCTGAAGCAGCTTTCTCTATCAGTTGGCCAAACTAAAGGAATACAATAGGCCTTAAGAGAAGAGGTAGACAAGTTATGACTGCATGTGAAAACAGTGCTCCTACTAACCAGTGTTTCATCCATGGAGGGACCAGGCAGTGCAACAGCCACCCATGTGTCTTCTCATTTACTTGTTCTGAAAGACTTTACAAATGCATCTGTATTTTTAGCTGCTCTCATATGGATTAGTGGTAATTTTGGGTGTACAATTTTCAGATAATTATAGTAAATTCTTCATGGTATTAAAGAGTGAGATAATGTGAACTAATAAAGAAAGTTGATATTCTAAACGTATAACAAAGTTTAGAATATCAACATTCTTTATTAGTTCAAGTACTAAACTCTTTTCCCCAGAACTGCTAATAGTTAGCACATTAATTGAGTTACATTTTCTCTTCCCACCTCCAGAGTCGATAACTAAAAGTGTTGACAGGACAAAGATCTAAATGTAAATAAACAACAAATGAAACAAACAAAATCAAGGGTTGACTATGAAGCCATTTATAGGTCCATTTACACATGGATTGATACTCACAGAATGAAATTTTATGTAAGTGGGATTACATTGTACTCTTTGCCTGTGTTCAGAAGGAGATCAGTACTATTTTGGAAGAAAATTTTTAATATTTCAGTCTTCATCACTGAGCTCATTTAAAGAGCAAAGCACTTCAATGCTTTCTAGCAAAATATGTTTAGATTATTCTTCAAATTCACATGTCCTTCTTTATAAGTCACTTACTTATTTCCTAACCTGCTTAGCATCTTTTTATATCTTATAATTATATTTAATCTTTCCATGCATTTCTTACAACATATCTGTAATTATTTAATGTTCTTTCAAATAATAACAGTTTTTTGTGAGATTCAGGATAAGATATTGAAATCATCTCTTTATTAAAACACTAGTTGACTAGTTGCTCTGTGGGTAAAGATCCATGGATATTTATGTATCAAACCTGTGCCAAGTTCAGCAAGGATTAGAAAAATGAGCAAAACAGTCCTTTCCCAAGAAGAGCCATACATAGGAGGAAGATTCTACAGAGGGGAGTGAAGATCATCAAGAAGTACACACATCTGTGCACTGTACCTGTTTGGAAAAAATGCATTGAAGTCACAACAATGAGAAACTGCTGCTCCATACTGAAAAGTCACATAGGGAGGCAGCATAGCTCTGTGGAAAGGATAGGGAGCTCTGAGTTCTAGTCTTTTTGCCACCGCCAACTGAGAAACTCTGAGCAAATTTCCTCTGGCTTTCTTCTTTCCCCAGTTTTTCCTGTCTGTCTAGTGGACTTTAACTAAATCTTCTAGTTTGTAAATATTGTGTTTTAAATCATGGATTTGCTTTCCCTTCATCGAAAACACAACCTGTATTTTCACTGTTTTCAGATACGTTTGGGCAATGAATATCCTATTTTTAGTTATTATTAAGGAATATAGTAATAATTTGTAAATTGTCTATATTTGCATGATGATTTCAAATGGACTTAATCAAATAAGATTAAATAATTAGAGCAGTCACATAATTTATATTCAGAGTTCTTTAACACATGTGCAATACCAAACATTTATAAATATTAGGTTGTCAATTCTGTTATAAAAATAAATATGTATGATTTTGGAATAAGGGGAGGGGAATCCCAACAACACTGCCAGGGCACTCAAGTCTCCTTTGGATGTAGCTGTGGGTCTGATAGACTTTTCCTAGAGACTACCAAGAGCATTTGGAGGGAATCTTTCGGTGATTGACATGGGAAGCAGAGAATTGGTCTGGGGTTTGTTTTTGAAGATTTTTGTTCTTTTTTCCATTGAAACAGATTTATTGGTCTCCAGTCAGTGTTGAGACCATCAGTACATTATCAGTCTAAATTTATTTAGCTGGTTTCTCTTCCTTTTTCTAAATGGGAAGTGAGAAGCTCCTAATTAACTAAATTTTAACCTAGCATATTTGTATACTCAGAAATATAATGTGTAATATGTATATTAATGCCCTTTGAAATAAACCTAATTTTAACGATATGATGTTCCCAAAATACCCTATTCTGAGTGTATTTTATAAGTGATTCTTACGTATCATACAATGTTTTGGTTTCATTTATTCATGCAAGTAAAAGCACTTTTGAGGCTTGGTATAGAATGTGACAGAATCAGAGATTGGTATAGTCACTTTGTGAAGCTGTTCTTCCATTTGAAGGGAACAATATTGTGTACTACTGTAAACCTAAGCATGGTGACACATCATGAAAAGAGGCATTTGGAGATACTCGGAAGAAAGCCTATAGCAAGTTTTTGGAATTTTACTCATCGCCTTATAAAATGAATAACATACTTAAATACTAGTAAACTTGAAGAACTTTGGCCTTTTCCGTTGGTCTTTGACCATTGGTTCTTGCTATCAATGTTACATATGTTATCAGAAAAGTTGAACAGGCGATACCTGGCCAAAATGTAGATCCAGTCTTGAAGCACAGGTGTTCCTTTTGTTAGTTGAATACTGTCTGATTTTCATTCCTATGTAATTTACCTGCTCGGAGATTAAGAAAGCTCCTTTTTATTAAATAAGCTTGAAAATAAGATGAATGCTCTAGGTTCTTGGGTAGAAAATATTGGATAGCTCCCTTTATAATGAGTATTTAAAAATCTGCCCTCCCCAAACTGGAAAATGCATTCTCTCTTGTGTGGAAAGCAATATAGTACTGAAATATTCCTCCTTAATTTTGGTCTGAACGAACAAAAGTGTCTGTGTTTATTCCTGCCTAATGCATCACAAATCTGCTGACATGCTAACCTTGGAGTCTTGGCTGGCGTTAATCAGGCCTGTGCACCGGCAGGCAGGATGCACCTAATGCACTCCATCAGTGCTGCTTGCATATGGAAGTTCTCACGGGGGAGCTGCCCTGTGCCAGCCGAGGGTTACCTGCCCACTGCAGTTATTGTATGTAATTATCGAACCAATCTGTTCAGCCCAGCAGGGTTTAGATGGTAATCATGAAGCAACACTTTGGAAAAGAAAGATGTAAGGCACTCTCTCCTTCTCTCATCAGTTATGTGAAGTTATAGCCACTCTTAGAGCTATTTTTGAGAAACAATACCTCCATATACAAATCGGCTAAATGAATGCTTTTTAAAGTTTAAGATTAGTCAAGTTGTTGTTTTTGTATCTGTGAAGAATTTTCTTTAGGGACACGATGGGTGTCTCTGAGTTCTGATCTTTTTCCACAGCCACCTTAAGCATGTTTTGAAACAGTGGGATTAATTGTAATACCTAGATAATAACAGTTCTGACCATTTGTGGGGTTTAAGATGATGTAGCTTGAATAGAGTTCAGCTTTCTCATATAGTTCTCTGTGGAAAAGAACCCACTGTTGCCATTAGGAGACACAACAATGTGCTGTCAGCAGGTATTGTCTTGTTTTATAGCGATATACAAAATGGCCCGCAGCAAAGAACGCTCTGAGATGGAGTCTAACTTCATATTAATTGTTAGGAAATATAAGTGAGGACATTCTGGTGCATCGTGATTCTCTGAAATTTGGGACATATCAGATAATTTCCTAAATGGTACAAACTTATTTTAAGTAACCTACAGAAGCTCTGAATTAAAATTTGGATTTTTACCCATTTAAATATGAAACTACATGGGACAAAGTTATAAAAAATACATTTTATACTCATGACAAATGTCCCTTGTTAATTATATAGAGAGATATTAAGTAACTTAAAAGCTTGACATAGGACTGGATTAGCTAAAAATGTTTTAATGATAGAATGTAATAAGAGGAAATTGGATGAATATTTGGGAAGAATGGATGGTAACTCTCCTAAGTAACACCCAACCTGGAAGATGAATAGTGGTTTTTGAAAGTTTAGGAAAGCTTCATACTTTTAAGGTTGTTCATTCACAGTAAAGCTTAGGACCTTCATATTTAAACTTTTAATAAAAAGTACTCTAAAAAAGAATTTATTAGAAGTTTGTCATTATTGATTCATGAGTATGATTTTATCACCAGTATTGGTGTTGTGTAACCACTGACACAGTATGTGAGGTAAGGTGTGTATTCTTCCATTTTTCAAGTAGCTACCCTTCCCCTTCCAGCCCCCACTCCTGCCACATCTGAAAGTGAGAAGCATGACTATCATTGGCCTGAGTGGTGACAGCAAATTTGTAAAATGTTTCATTTTGAAAATGAGTTTCTTTGATCATCCTGATGGTCAAACATAGCTTTCAACGGTGAACTATATTAAATATGAAAACTTTGAGGTGGATAGAACAAGTATGCCCATCATCCAGACTGTGTAGCCAGAAGTTCTCTTATTCCCCTTTTGTTCCACTTCCCATTCCTTCTCTTAAGTAATAACTACCCTGAAATTATAAAGATTCTTCCCATATGTTTTGACATAACCACACTGATATACATTCATGTAAATACTAATTTATGATAGGTTTGTATATTTACTAGTTAATCAGACTGCATCTCTCTATTTTTATATGTAAGAAGAGAAAGAAAGAAATAGAGGAAAGCACTGAATCTAGTGTTGAAGATATGGAATGCTCAAATATACAGACAGAGGAGGCCGCACAAACCCGTAAGTTGAACAGTTTTGCATACCTTCTATATTAGGCACAAAGATGTGTTATTTGGGTTATATAACATTTTGATTTTATTACAAAATATATAAATCTTATATTTGCATAGCACGTATCACAATGTCTTCTATGCACACATTATCTTATTATTCTTAACATTGGTCATAAAGTTGGGACTAGGAGTTGAAACCAAGCAATTAAATGGCAGAACTGTTGTGGAAGGGCAGGAGGTAGAGGCCAGAACTCTTTTAACTCTCTCACCAGTAACTTCCACTCCCTCCCACTGATCCACATACCTGGAGAGAAAAGTGAAGGTCAGGAGTCAGTACTGGCTTAGCACACTTGCAAACTTCTTGCTGAGTTGCCTGGTTAGTCCCAATGAAGCCTGCCAATTCTCTCTCAAGTTAGGAGGCAAGGAAGAAGCATTACATTGTCAGCTTTCAAAGCCCTTGAGGCAAAAGGCAAGGTCTGAAGTCATTTCTTAGGTGGCTGATAAACTGGGCTGAAGGCACTTCTGATAATGGAGTACCTCCAGAAATGACATTCGCAGAGCAGCATATGCAAGGGCAGGACTCAGTGGACTTTGTCTCACATGTGCAGTCAGTGTGCTCCAGGTTTCAGGAGAGATGTTTGCCTGAGTAAGGGAGGAAGAGAGTCAGTTCTGCCCAGAAAAACTTTTTTTTCAAGATTTCTCTCCTGTCTCATTACCTTTTTATTATTTGTTGATTCTGGACTATTTCTTGATTTCTAATGCAAAGGCTTATTTTTGGTAAAAAATTCATTATAGTATAAATGTCCCATTGACTTAAGGCAGTGATGGATTTTACTTTTCCCTTTGATAGTTTCCCTGGTGTCTGTGTATGGAAAGCAAAATATTCAACTTTCAGAGAGAGTCATCTTTGTCCTGATTGATTTTTTTTTTAACATTTTCCTTATTATATGTTGTGCTTAGAGCCTATCTGCGTATCTGCATTAACTGAGAACCATGAGGTATCTGAGGAGGCAGTCTATAACTTCACTCTGGAGGCTAAAGGTTTTGAAGTAGTCCCCCTTTTTTCTGTTATTTGCTGTTTTTCCTCCCTCCTCCCCTGTCTTGTTCATTTTGTTGTTAGGAAGTGAGGCGCCCCAAGGAGCAACTTATGGAAGCCTGTCTCAGCTAGAGGCTAGCAGCAGCCCCTGTGACAGTGAGTGGGAACCAAGTTAAGGAGCACTGATAAAGATAGGGTAATATGCTTACTTTTCAAAATCCCTTACATTTTAAGACTGGTGTTTTTGGTTTAGGAAGGGTGCATTTTTCTAGATAAGGCTGCTGCCCAGTAAGACTTAGGTTTGCAGGTGGAGTTACAGCTGTGTGTGGGAAGACTCAGGCTTCTCTTAACAGCCTGCAGGCCATTGTTACCTGAACTTGGCTTAATGAGCACCAGAGGTATTTGTTTTGATAGAAAAGTGATTTTAAATTCTAGTAAAATATGAAAAATGTTTTTAGTGCCTGAAATTTTAATATAAGGTCCTCACATTGATAGTTATTCCTATAATATATTAATATTTTTATTTTATTAATGAGAAAAGAGACTAGACTCATAGATAATTTAAGGAGAACAGTTTAGATTTTTTGATATAACTTAAGATAATAAAAAATGATCAAATTTCCCCTTATTCATATAAACTCTGAATTGCTTTATTTAATTTTTTAAAAATTTTCCCGTTGTAATTCATTTTTCGCCTAAAGTGCAAGTCAAGATATTTTACTTTAAAAATACTCATTTAAGAGAAATATTATTTGGAATGGTAAAATGTGATTGCTTTTGAGCAAAAAGAAGGAAAAAAAGTTATAGGCTCATATAAATAAACGTGCGTGTGTGTGTGTGTATTCTCAGTTTAATGTAACTTGAAGGAGTAAGTCTGATTTTTAAAAAAATTTTTTAAAGAAATATGTAATACAATTCAGTGAATTTTGTGTTTTAGGGCTTTAAGATTTTGTGTCATAATCATGTTTCAAGAATAGGTACCTCTAACAGCAGCTTTAGAAATGTCAGTTTCTTCATTAACAATTTTATTTTCAAACACAATTTATGGTTTACAATATGGTAAGAGATTTTTCTCACTGTGTGATCTTTCAGAATGCTGTGCCTAGCAAAATGGGAGCAACTTTCCTTTAATATCTATTTAGACCATTTTAAAAACATGTATAATTTTCTTGATACACCTAAGCTCATTTTGAATAGCTGGAGGTCCATTGTGTGAGAACGTACTCTGAAAGCTTTCCGCACGGGCATTGTGGGGGCTTTCTCAGAAAAAGAGAGGGGTGATGGGGTGGTTTTCAAGAAGAACAGAGGCCTCTAATCCTTTTATTTTTATGCAAGGCATAATTTTTACCAATTGAGAAAATTTGGTTATTTGCTGCAAGTAATTTTCCCCATTTACAGAATGATAAACCTTAAAAAAAAAAAAAAGTGCATATTCTGGTATTTCAAAACCATGCCAATATTTTAGAATTGTACTAAAAATTAGTTAATGTAACCATGATATTTATGGCTAGTATACCATGTCCCTCCTGTTCATAAAATGGAAATTACTCTTGGTGTTATTTTTGAATTATCATGGGTTTTTATCCATTCCTGAGATTTTTCGGGAAGGAATGACTGGTCAAGAAATACATGTTTTTAAAGGCACCCTACAAAGAAGTTTCCCACTTGTTTTTTTTACTGTCTTAATTATACAATTATAGAAGAGTGTTCTAAACTAATATATGTTATTTTTCAAATACCAGATTTTACACAGATCTTATGACCTATGGTCATTAATAGTGTATTATGAAAATAATTATGTTTTAACTTAAAGAGAAAAGAAAACAGACTATTCTATAACAATCAGAATTGAGTATTAGGGAAAATGTTGAATTAATAATACAACAGAGTCTCCAAGGTGCTTTATACTAATTACATAATAAATTCAGGGTAGCAATAGCATTTTGATTTGCTGGGAGAAACTTTAGACCGAAGCTGGTAAGCAGTAATATTTAAGAGCAAAATGTCAAATTAGGACATTAATGAGAATAGTGCTATTTGGATATAGCTGTATTGTTCTTTGTAATATGCCCGTAAATTCAAATTTTATGGAAATTTTTTAATTGATTTGTATTGATTAATCAATTGACCTTGATTTTTGTGATACATCATTTTGTCAATCTCACAACCAGAATACTTCCAATTTTTGATGTAAAATTAACTTAAAAATTCTTGAAATACAAACCTAAAAATCTGTTGTGGTGTAATTTTAATAGAAGGCTATATCACAAAAACTTAAGAAAAAAATCTCAAGTTTTTAATTCAAACACTGTTTATTTTAAGTGACAAGAAAAAGGGTAATTTATATAAATTTAAAGTTTGCTGTAATTGAAATGTATGGTAATTGAATAAACTGTAACTTGCCGAAGTAACATGTTACTTTTTAAATTGATCTTCCAGTTAAGTAAGTAAATAAACCCACAGTAAGAAAACCTTTAATAGTAAGAGACTATTATTATATACATGGTAGAAATTTTGTCCTAGACTAGAATATGTTGTGTCCTTTTCAGAAAAGAAATGTAGATCTCTTTGCTGTTCAAAGTGTTCACTGATAAATCAGAAATTGCAAGGCTATGCCTCGCTCTGGTGCCATTGCTCTGTTTAGAGAGAAGTAGGAGGCCTGGGAAGGAAATGGCAGCACTAGGCAGTGTGGCCTGGCTGCAGCAAGCCTCCAGCAGCCCTGTTGTTTTCAGCTGGAGTGGAGGGCCAGGGATTGTCACTGGAGACTTAGAACAGCATCAAACATGATGCTTGTCTAGGAAACCACTTGACTGGGAGCCGTGTGATTCCCACTTGATTCCCAGTGGGAAAGGTTTTTATTCTAACCTAGTCTGGTGCTTAAAGAGCACAGGTAAAACTTTAAACCCCAAATCCCTGGCATGCTTCGCCTTCTCACTTACCCCTAGGCAGTGGGTGTTTGTTGCTGTAGTTTATTTACATTTGGGGTCAGTATTTTAATTTTGGGGGAGAACTATTTTAGTACCAATGTAAGTTGGATGTGTTTTTACCAGTAGAAGAGTTCTTAATGCAGATAGACTTTGCTAGCATATTTTTTGACATATTAAAAGAATTAACATAATTTTCTAAGATTTTTATGATGTTGAATTGTACCTTCTTGTGGAGATTTCATCCACAAACCAATCATCAGAGTCGATTAGATTTTAAAGTATTAATAGCTGTAGATAGAAGTATTTGTACGTTTGTTCTTTTGCTTATATAAATTAATGATTTAAATTTCTTTGATTTCTCTTCAAGGTTCAAGAACCAGAAAGAAAGTCCAGAAGTAAATCAAATGCAGTGAACCAACTTTTTTTCCTTTTCATTTGACTTTTTTTCTCCTTTTCTGTTTTAAGTTTTATTTTCATGGGAGTGTTGAGGGGTGGGAATAATAATTAAATACCTATGTCTTTGAAAAACAAACTTTTTTTTTTAATTAAAATGAACCCTTGTACAGTTTATTAAAGGCTAGTTTATGAAATTCCAAAATCTTCAGGTTTCCTCTTTAAGCTATCTCAGTCTGTGTGTGCATGAAGTTTTAGAGTACATAGAAGAAAAATTACCATGAAAATACACTTTTCTAATCATGTGCATTTCTCAGAGTGGACAGAAATGTTTGTTGGAGTCTTCATTTTTAAGGAAAATTTAAAATAAAGGTCTCATTATTTGCTTGGTATAAATATGTTTTTTTTTTTGGTGTGTGTGTGTGGTGGTAAGGTTTGGTTTGTATTGATTTTTGTTGTTGTTGTTCTCCATAATGTTTATTGAGCACCTGCTATAGGAGACATGAGGTGCACACAAGGGCAAAGGCTATAAAAACATGCAGTAGGCACAGTGTATTTATGAGAGAGAAAACGCACATATTTGAAAATTAGATTATAGAAGAATGGTATGAGTATGTAAGCCGTCTGACAAGAAAATGGGATAAATGATCACATGGGACACTGTCACAGATTGTGTAGAGCCTGGTTGCCTTTAAGGAACTCCTGTCTACCGGATATATTCATTCACAGGAGATGATTTTCTTAACAAGTTTTATTTGTGCAGCAAATGATATTTGTACATCAAACCAAGCACTATAAAATTTCAGTGATTAGAGATTTTAAGGTGTAGAATATTTAACTTGTCTTGGGAACAGAACCTCAGAATTTTAATATTTATGAATAATTCCAAGATATATTTCTCAAAGTTTACTTTGTTAGAAAATTGGGATCAGACATATTCTCCAGTGGGTAGAACACCTTATCACCTGTAGCATATTCAGTGTTTTAAAGTAGTGTGTGGACACAGTCTTATTTAAATGTTGAAGTATTTTAACAAGTATTCAAAATATTACTGGCACATTAAGGTGTTGATTTCTCTACAGCTTAGGACAAGCCTAAAATAGATATTTGAGTTTTTAAAACGTGAATTGATATAGAAACATAATAAGTTTGTAATAATATAGGTGGGGTATGGCATACCAAAAATTTTCAAGGTTGTACCAAGTTTGAGAAACTGAACCAACACAAAGACAATAACTTTTGGTTCTCCAGTGTAGAACTGTCATGTGAAGTTGTCATGTGAAGTATTTGTCCCTATAATGGGCAGATATTTTTCAATGCAAAACAGATCTGCACAGTTTTTTAAAATCAATTTTTTAATGCCTCTCAAAGGTATCGAGTTATGTGTCTTTACAGAAGAGAGAATTAAATTTTGGGCAGGGAGTCCTGCTTCCTATAGAATGTTGGATTTTAGTACTGTTCAGTGTTATGGGCCCAAGTTTATTTGTAACACCTAAATCAACTCTCAAGTTCTGTTTTAAACACATTGATGCTTAAAATAGGATAAAATGTGTGTGATGTGTTTTTGTATATATGCTGTAGCCCTTTTTATTTTTCAAAACACAAAAACATAGCAAAACGTGTTGGTTAAATATGAAGAAAACAAATATTTCATCACATATTGTTTTAAACAAGTGCTGACATTTTCTCGAATGTTACTGTATTGGCAGGGCTACAGAAGTTAATGCAAAACTACTATCCATGCTAGCCAGTTTGATGTATCAGCCACAGCCCCTGTTCTGCTATTCTTTTATTCCCTACTGTGCACTGGATTTTCCTCCACCCTTTATTTTTAAGAAGTGGCTAAGCAACTTACTTGGTATTCAGTGGTAAGTGTTTTTCCTTGCCCTTTTCAGTTCTTTAGTTCTCCCCCCACCCCCAATATCCTGCATTATTTTTATTTTCTTTCTAAGAAGTGGATTTCTATTTTTGTCCCGTGTCTCCTCCCACCCCCACACCCCGCAGTCCAGCCTCCATATTCTAACCTGTCATAACACCACTATGTCCTGCTTTCTCTGCCATTTTCTTGGGTCCTTAGTGAGCTGAGGTTTTCTAGTCTGTTGAGGATCACCACCTGTTCCAAACTCTTGTCCCACATGATAGAATTTATGTGTGCTGTGTGTTTTCTAGAAAGCAGCTGATAAGTCTTTGATAACTAACTAAAGCCCAGTGTAAAGTAGCTTCTTGGTGTTCTTCAACAGTTCTTCTTTGTGTTTCTGAAGACAAAATGCCAGTACAGCAGAGCTATAAAACCCTGATCATTTCTTTGAATTAATTAAGTGTGCATCTAAAGACCTAAGTTCCATAACAGTAAATTAGTGTTGAAATATAAATAATTTATATGTTGGTGTGTAATCTATCTATATGCCATTGAGCGTTCTTATTCTTTAAAATCCTATTTTCAATGTTCTGTATTCTTCTGATTATCATGGTGTGTTAACAATCTGTGGTTGTCGTAGAACGTTGAAAACATATAGACAAGTGTCAAAAGGCAAAACAGCTTTACTGCTACCCACAGGCAACCACTGTTAGTGTTGTCAGTATTTTGACACATTTTCTTCTAAACTTTCCTATACACTTTATCTACTTTAAATACTTTATGTAAAGCTAATATTCTGCTTTTTAAAACTAACATGAAATCTTTTCATGTAGTTACAGATGCTTTATGAATATAACTTCTATATTTTTTTTCTCATGGGTGTATGATGCTTTCATGACTGTTTCCCTAATATTTAACATTGAAGTTATTTTCATTTTTGATACATTATAAATAATTCTTGAACAAAATTGGGTAGAAATCTTTGTCAACATGTATGAATATTTCCTTAGATTTAAAAAAGTGAACTGCTGGGTCAAAGACTGAAATGGATACATATTCTCAAATTATTTTATAAAAGTCTATCTGTTAATGCCTTGACCAGTAAATTGGAGAGCCTAAAACTTACATTTTATCTTAAGTGCTGTGGACTGTATGTTTGTGTCCTCCCCAAATTCATGTTGAAGGCTGATTCCCAGGTGATGGTAATAGGAGGTGGAGCCTATTGAGTCATGAGGGCAGGGCCCCTCTAGGGATTAGTGCCCACAGAAGACAGATGATCTCTCTTCAACACATGGCCATCTGCAAAAACCAGGATATGGCCCTCCTCAAGAGTAAATCTGCTGGTACTTTGAACTTGGATTTCCCGGTATCTAGAACTGTGAGAAAGGAATGTATGTTTGATAAGGTAAATTTTGTTAGATTGCTAGTGAACCTGAACGATTCTTTATTTATATACTAGACATTACAAACATTTTTGTAAATTTTTTTATAGGTTTTTTTTTAAACTTTTATTTTTAGTTGCAGATGGACACAATACCTTTATTTATTTATTTATTTATTTTTATGTGGTGCTGAGGATCGAACCCAGTGCCTCACACCTATGTGCTAGGCAAGTGCTCTTCCACTGAGCTACACTCCCAGCCCCATCATTCTATTTTTTTTCCTTGTTGTGTTAGTATACTATTTATATGATAATGACCTTAATTAACCCTTTGTCCTATTTGTTGCTGACTTATTTTTTCCTATTTATTTCCTCTTAGATATGGTTTTAGTTTTTATAAAGATTAGTATTTATTTATTTATTTGGTGCCAGGGATTGAACCCAAGGGCACTTGGACCCTGAGCTCCATCCCCGGACCTGTTTTGTATTTTTATTTAGAGATAGGGTCTCACTGAGTTGCTTAGTGCCTCACCATTGCTGAGGCTGGCTTTGAACTTGTATTCTCCTGTCTCAGCCTCCTGAGACCCTGGGATTACAGGCATGCGCCACTGCACGCAGCATGAAGATTAGTTTTATGGCTTTAATCTAATGATCTTTTCATCATAATTTTGCCACCATTTTTAAATATTTTCTATCCTGAAATCAGAAATATTTACTGTGACTTTTTTTAGACTTTTGTTTTAACAATTCTAATTTTGCAGCTTGTGTGGAATTTATTTTGGTGTGTGTATGCCATGAGGTAAGGCTCACATGGAAAGGAGCAAACCAGTACTGCAGGAATAAACTATCTGCCCCACCCTCCTGCATACTGGCTCGTGGTGCCTGCTGTGTTCATCCTGAGTTCTACCAGGGTTTGTTTTTGGACTGTTTCAATTCATTAGGCCAGTACCACACTGATTTAACTAAGGCCATTTACTTTATTATTTATTATGCAAACTGCATTAACAGAAATCACAATGAAGAAATTCATTTATGGCCTCACCACTACTACAAAAATCACACACTTGCCCTTTGGCTAGGTTATTCCTACCTTAGTTTCTAGCTTTATAAGTTTTCATAGTATAGTAGTTGTATGAATAAAATTTTTGTAAATTTTTTTAAAGATCCATGGGTTATTCTGAGCCCCCTCATTCATTGAGCTCTATGATACAGAGATGTACAAAGCACACTAAAGAAGAAATGCTGTAAAAAGGTCTTTATAAATACAGCCCTTATACCAGGTGCTATGGCGAACACCTATGAACCCAGTGACTTGGGTGGCCGACACAGGAGGATTAGAAGTTTGAGGCCAGCCTCAGCAATTTAGCAAGGCCCTAAGCAACTTAGACCCTGACTCAAATTTTAATAATAATAATAAGGCCGGAGACGTGTCTCAGTGGTTAAGTGCCTGAGTTCAGTCCCCAGTACCAAAAAAAATTAAATAAATTAAAAAAAAAAGAGCCTCACAACTTATCTAAGTTTGATCTTAATTAGAATGGTATTCTGAAATATCAGAAATATGAGTGGGGGTGATCTGTAAGATAATGCTTGTGCTTATCGTACAAAAACAGGAAGTTGAGGAGTGAATCCAGAGTAGAAGGGGTGGTAAGGTGAACAGTAGTGAAAAGTGAGTAAAACAAGCAGCTTTTAACACTTGGGCAATTATTTCTTTAAAATGGGAAAAATTGCTGTGCTTAATATTCTCTCTGACCTCCACTTGACCAAAAATGAGTACAGAAGTTCATGATAGTCCATGGTATAATCCTCAGATCCAAGAGGCCCAGCATACTTCCTCAGGCTTTCCCTATAAGGGACCCATTTATTATCCAAATTGCATTAACAGAAATCACAAAAGAAGAAATTCACTTATGGTCTCACCACTACTACAAAAATCACACCCATATGGGCTAGTGCTTAAGAGTATATCAACTGAAGGGCCCCTTAACCCTGAGGACTGGGAAGTCCTAGGACAGTGACTGTCCAGGGGAAGTTACAATCGGGAAGTACATACTGATTCTATTAAGTTGCCTGTAAAGAAAGTAGAGAGTAATAGTTTACTTCTTGATCTTTTCTGGAGGTAACTGGGCCCTAGCACTAGCACACAAAGCACAGAAAGCT